CCCCCCCTTTGCAAGAAAAAGAAAATTTAATCTTGGGAATACAGCTTTCCTTAAAGACAGGAAAACTCATGCTTGTTAGTCTGAATAAGGGATGTGCAAAACAGAAGTAATTTCCCTGAGGCAAAGATCTTCAAGTCATGCCTAGCTTACATTGTCTATTCTCATTTCAAGAAATATTTGGCACAATGAGGCCTTGATCACCGACTGAGTCTCATGGCGTTATCACAGTCTACATAATATATTTATAAAACAAAGTAGAAGTTACAAATGCTTCATTCTCTCACTCTGTTTTGGTTTCTCACACTTACTCGTTATAATTCCTTTCCCTCTCAAGGGTGGCATTGGACCTCCTGGGCAGGAAGGCAGAGTGACAAACTTCTACTGTATTTAAAGGCTGCCACGAATACTGAGCGCCTAAAATGGCAACCGCAGTAGTTATTGGACTCAATACATGGAGTAACAGGGTAAAAATTAATAGCCTGTTATATATAGATCAAAGGTAGGTGATTTGATAGTCTCTTCTTCATTTACATTATGAAAAGCATCCAGGGAGATAAAAAAAGTGTCATGTTGTGAATGCTTCCAGTCTAAAACACATAAGAAGCAAAGCTTGCGACCAAGTCTTTCCAGCTTTCCCTTTTAAAATATAAATTGCACTTCTTATACAAAGCAATCCAAAGTCTAAGTTGTACTAAAAATTTGAAGCTGCCTTACTGTACCAAAGAGTATCTGTGTTCACCATCTGAAGAACAGGCAACTAGTTTTCAGCCATTCTGCATATAGAGGCATATGCTCTATACTTTTCTGCTTTAAAAGGGCCTGACAACAAATGCCATGCCACTGGGTGGGTACTAAACAAAGAACAAAAAAGAAAAAGAGAAGAGTTTAAGGCCTTTATCTCCACAAGGAGCTGAAAACTGTGGCACAACCCATAACCAATACTTAACATGGAAATTAGCACACTCCCACCCAGGGCTCCAAAAATCAGTCATTCTTTCTAATGTTTGTCACACAAGACAGTCATACCATCAGCAAGCAACAGTGCCAGATAAGCATTTTTAAGGTCTTCAAAAATTCATAGCAAAGGGCACTTCTGAGAAAGATAATCTTAAAGATTTGGTTTTAAAAATAGACACCACACTCACATTCAAGGGACATTCTTCACTTTTAGGCCTTTGTCACAAATCTGAATCTTTATTGTTCTGAAATAAACGCTATAAACATAAGACTCAAAACAAGAACTCCAACTTTCAGTCTCAGAAGAGGTGTGGTTCAATGCCCATATCACATGTAACAAGAAAATTTCCTTAAAAAAGGAAAAAAATTACTGTAAAGTCTTTCATAAGAATGAAAATGCAATCCATTTTTTTCCTCATTAGTTTGTGTACAGGCGGGCACCAAAAAAACTTTTGCATTTTCTTTTCAATTCTTGCTATGATGCTTGACGAACTTTTTGCCATTCAACAAATTCATCCAGAAGTACAGGCCCTGTAAATGGATGAAACTTGGAGTTATATTTGCCAGTGTCTTTCGAACATCTTCTCTTAAAGTATGAAGGTTAGAACAACAGGTCTAGGCAACATTCATGTCAATCCTATGGTCAATTACTTATTAAGACTCAAAGATGTCTACAATCATTTCAACCCAAGGGTGGCAAAAAGTACATGAATAACGCTACACAGAACTATGGAAAAAAGTGTTCCTGACATCTGACAGGTGCGCTGAACTGAAAGCATAAAACAAGGCTATACTGTAAATTAAGATAACTAACTCCTTCTTGCTAGAGCTTTCAAAATTGCACATAATTAGAATGTGGAACAAAATGGGATGCCTAACGCAACTCAGTCATAGTCTGACTGACTATCAGCCAGGTATAGAGTTCAGTCCCAAGCACCTGCAGTTAGGCTACTTTATAGTTAAACTACAGTTTATTATATATTAGTACAAAATGAGAGTTTGCTGCTTGTAATTCTATTTGCAAGTCTATAGTTGCATGTAGCAAGCAGCTTCACAAGATCCTCAGTGGAAATATAAGCTGGCTCAAGTACTCCACCATACCTCTGACATACTACTACAATTAGTATCTTCAGTTTGAAGATAGATGGTTATCAGAGCAGTTTTTCTATGCATTGTTGGAGAAGAAATATTTTAACCTTAAAGTATTCTTTCTGTTAAAGAAATTTGTTTCATGCAGATTGAAAATACTGAAATACTAGCTGAATAAGCAAAATGTTATGAATACTTACATGCACCATCTTCATCATAGTTGCTAAGATCTGCATGGACAGTTCTGCTGAACTCTAGCACATTGTACCACTGATCCTTGTTCATAACTCTATACTTCGATTGCTAGGGAAAATAATTTCAGAACATTAAAATATCATGTGACATTTGGTAATGCTGCGTCTTCTTTCTCATTTCTTTCACTTGATCTTCAATCAGTTCCTAACAATTCAATGAGTAACAATGGCTACTATTTCCTTGGCTTTTAGAATACTATACATGTACACATTTCATAGTTCTGAAACTACATAAAATAATTTCTCGAAAGATCAGAGCAAAATCAAAATATCAGGGAATCAGGAAGTCACCACTCTTAAGCTTCAAAAACTGGTAAATTTTCATCTTCACCTGAAGCAGGGCATACCTAGCTCTGATATATTTCCAGAATAATTACAAAAATCATCTTTTCTCCAGGGTACAACACAGTATATTCATAAGGACATCTACTTTGCAATGTTAGTACTGATTTGAAGTCAGGGAATAGTGTCAAGCCTACCATGCTCCACAACCTACACACGTCCACATTACTGATTAAGTCACTTGAACCTGAGCTGATCAAAACCTTCCTGAGACAGCCAGAGCTCAAGGGACTTACATGCTGTATCTATACAAAGCAAACTTGAAATTCAGCACAGATGCAGCTGGAGAGATTACTGAGGCGCTACTATTAAATTTTAAAATTATCTTTATAATCTAATTAAGATGGAATTTTAGTTGCCTTTGCTAAGAGAAGGGAGAGTGGGGCACAGGGAAAGATAAAACGATCTGTGATGCACACAAGAACATCAGTGTTTCATAAGCACATCGAGCAAGGCAAAAGGAGCAATACGGATACAATCTTGAGCAAAACAGCACAAACCCTTAAATCTTTTCACAGAACAGCCCAACTACTATGCCGTCATTCAGAAAGTCAAGGAAACTTGTACCTCCAGGTATTGATAAAATACTGAAAACAGTGGCCAAGTTCTTCCAAGCAGAAGAGCTAACATGGATTTTGCAGTATCGATATCAAGACTTCGCTGGTCTTTATCCTAAGGTTGAATAAAGAAAGCACAAAACCCACTCAAGTACAAGCTTGCCAAATAATTAAAATAAGAACTTCCTCAACATTCCAGTAGTCTTACCCTTGCAAAATCAAAGGCATATCTGTAGATATTCTTAAAGGATGAAATGTCATTCAATTGTGACCGCAAGAAGTCAAATTTACTCTGTAATTTTTCTGTACAGTCGCACCTTAAAATAAAGAAAACAAAATGACATTAGGAGTTCAAAACAACGCATTTGGACAAAGAAAAAACTTCCAGCAAACCAAAACTTAAAATCACCAGAATGCAATTATCAGATATACAAGAGTAATTCTATGAAAGTGACTTAAAGAACACTGAACATGCTCACATTTGCAGCTTACTGAAATCATGAATGCCTGCCTTCTGTAAGCAAATTTTTTTTAAAATGTATCAGCAACGTAACACATAGTCTCTGCTTTACTCCTCAAATAGCAGTCTTTTATGCCATACTGTGCAATTGATATTCATACCCACCACTATCTTATCTTTCAATCACTATGAAAGTTTGGAGAGAACAGTATTCAGTGTGCCTTAAGGTGGTAAAATCCAGCTGTAAGTAAGGACTTTATGCCGTATCTGTTTGGAAAAAAACAACTCTAAACATACACTTAAAGACTACGTATTTATGAGTGGCATGATTGAGCAGGCACTCTGCAAAACATACCAGTCTGGTCGTGTTTTACGACCAATAAATGCAAGCTCTGATAAGCCTATCGCCTGGATTAGTCAGTACCTATTCAACTGAAAACCCACAGGCTGTATGAGAATGTACAGGTCTGCTAGTTGACAGGGTGACCCTTTGGCAAAAATAACTCTTTGGCAGAAAAGAAGATTGCCACATATTTTACTTAGAAAGGACTTCTGTTTCCAAATAGAAAATGGGTCAGATTCACCAACAATGGCAGAGGAGAATGTGATTTACACATGCTAATTCTCCAGGAAAGATTCACTCAAAAGAATAGTTGTTATGTTATATCATATTTTATTCTTATAAAACAATAGCTGCCCATGATCAAAAAAATAAATAAATTCTACCTTGCCCTGTATCTGGCATGACAGAAGCAATACTTTCAGAAATGCAGATGTACCCAAATACTTTCTTTGGTTACATGCCCCCCTTCTGGCAGCTTGTCTCTCAGGAAAGCCATGTGCATCTTTAACATCTCCTTACGGACTTGGCACAGGAGCCCATGGCAAGGGCCCTCCGCAGGTACCGCAGCAGGTTGCTGAGATTTTGTACTTTTCCCACAGCTGATGCTTCCCATTCCTCAAGTCTGACAGCCTGTGCGTGCATGGCTATCCGTCTGTCCCTCCCAGGCTTCGACAAGAAGAACGTAGCAGTACAGGCTGATGGTGTCTTTTGTTATTTCTTGCCTCTAGCAGCACCTACTTAAAGCAGCACTGAGTCCCAGCCAAAATCAGTGCTAAATAAATGAAACTATTAGCTAATTAGACTGCATATTCAGATGACAAGAACTAATATATTTTGCAATAAAGCATGCATTAAGTTGAAAAGCAATCTTTTTAAAAAGCTTTGGTAAATTTAACTGAAGATAAAATTACTTTTTTTGTCTTCAGCCATCTAATTAGTCTCTGTATTCTATCGTTTAACCCTTAAAACAGTATTATGCTATGCTACAAAGGCATCTCATTTTATATTCATGTCTCTTATTTCTATGTTCAAACCTTCATACTGCAATAATATTGTCTTCTGAATTTGAGGACAAATCTACCTATTTGACACCTAACTAAACGCTCAAGTTGTTAGCATACTAAAGACATATATAAACTACTTAAAGCAGGTTTACCACACATTTTGTCAATATAATTTGACTTAGATTATTTACCATACCACAGATAAACACAAATCTCAGTGTGTTTATATTTCTTACAAAATATTTTGTTAAAATAGTTCAAATTATAAATTTAAGTACAAAGTAAAATTCCTGTTACTGTCTACCGTACTATCGCTATATGCATTTTAATTAGAAGTGACACTCTTGAAAAAGTTGATACGAAAATGTGCAGTTATTAAGCCTCAAGACTCTAAGCTACTGTCAACCTATTTAACACCAAACAGTCAAACAGATCACACTCAAACAGACAGGCACTGCGCTCTGAAGCCCGATGCAGGGACAACTCTCTGCTAAATTCATTTAAGGCACTTCCACACCTGGCCACTGACAGTCTTCACACTAGTGAGGTAAGGGTTGTCAAACTCCTGTTTTATGGAGCTACAGCTGCCTGTGTGGCTGCACCATAAACACCAAGACTGAGGTCACCCATACTTAGAATAATCTCCACAACAGTATTTTTCTCCCTTTTAGTCAGAACAATCTTCTAATTAGCACAAGTGAATTAACACTAAGCTGCAGTACAGAGACTAGAAAAAGATGTGATTTCTTAAACTGTCTTTACTGAAAGCATTAGATAAGGTTACCTCAAGATCAACGTAACTAGACATCAACTCAGTACATTCTCTTCACATCCATACATCATATTAATAACAAAACTTAAATTAGCACCACAAAGCGGTCCTAGTTCAATTTCTGTTGAGGTAGAGAGTTCATCTGAGGCATAGCTAACATGGACAGAGTGATGATTCAGTAACTCCTACTCAGATATTCTGATGTTTCATATTTCATAATTATTCACACATGCTTTTCTTTCACTAAGAAAAATCAGTAAGATGTATACAAACAGTAAACCAAAAGCATTTAACGGTAGTATATAATGTAGTTTAGAGGTTTTTCAATCTACAAAAGAGCTCCCCTGCTATCATCCAGCCCTCCGGATGGACAAAAGGAAATTATATCCATCCACTCTCTTCAAGCATTGAAATAGGATCTTCTGAAATTTAGGTTTCATGTTATAACTGGAGCATAAGGAGGTTAAAGGAAGCAATGGCTTAAGAGAGCAAAGGAACATCTTTTCTGTACCCTAACAATGCTATAGTTTCACTGTGTCATTAAAACCAACCCAAATACCTTGTGTTTACTAATAATTCTGCAAGCAGCGAGAAGTTACAAACCTGACTTTCCTGCCTCTCTCATGCAGCTTCTCTTGTATCTTAAAATGCACAATCATGACCTTATCTTTCTCTCAGTTGGAATCTAATTTGACTCTCTCCCCTTTACCTGACCACTCATTTTCAAAAGCTCACCTTTAAAGTAAAATTTGGCTTAAATTCTAAGGTTAAAAAATAATAGCCAGAGGGAAGTACTCAGACAATACAGCTGTTTACGCCTCATTTCCTTACAGATGAAATTCTTTGTATTCACCTAGTTCAAACAATGACTTCTGTGGAGTTCAATAAAATTATGAATTGTAATCCTTTTTCCTTCACCTTCATTTTGTAACCAGATTTTTTTTTTCATTGTGGCTCTGTAAAGCCTACAATTGACAGATACGTGATTATGCTTCTCCTTTAACTCAGATACATAAAGTTAAACACTCAACTGTAAGTTATTCACCCTCCAATGGCTTTAAAGTAAATGTAGATAAACACTCACTTCCTGAGGGCTATTCATTTCATCCTAAGGAGGTGTTTAAAATTGCTGAAATAAATTGCCCAGCAGAGGTACTTGTTGCTCTCTGCTGACTATGAAAAGAGCTTTAGGTGATTAATTCAGCTTCAGACATTCAGCCTTCATATATTCATACACACACACACATATATCCGTATGTATCTAGGGCAGAATTCACCCAACAACACGATATACTAAGTCAAACCTCGCTTTCACATCTTAGGTTGTTCAAGTTTCATAAGCTGCTACTTAGTGCTTGGCTCACCTTAATTTTGACAGTGTGTACCTTACCACACATTTATTTTTCTCCTCCTCTCTCAAGAACAAATTTCATCAGCATATCACAAAACCACACACAAAAAGAATGTCACTTCAAGATTCAGGCACCCAAATGTTGGCATCTCACTGTAGACTAGATTTAAGTGTCTAAGCTTTCGGTGTTGCCATTCATAGCGGTCTAGTCAACCAACCCGTAGGAGCAATTCAGGTGACCAGCCACTAGCTCTTAGGGCAAACTGCATACCTTCTTAGGCTCCACTACATTGACTAGATCTCCAAAGACTGCAGTAACAGTTTAAGAAATCCAGCTCCTGCATATAAACCACACATTTAGGTGTCTTACTATGGAGCTGAATTCCACCCAACTCTTTTCATGCAATTACCTTACGTGATATTTCACATATTTTGAAATAAGGATTCTGTAATATAACTCTTGACTAAGAATACATTCTGGGCTTTTAATACATTTTAATGTCCATTCTTCATGCAAAAATTAAAAAAAAACCCACCCCGCTATGCAAGAATGTAATAATACTCTATTGCTTGAAGAGCATAAAATCCTTCTCCTTCAAAACTTCTGTCAAACCTTTCAAGAGAAACTAGATTCCACCATTCCAGATGGAATCCCATAATATGATCCTCCCTTCCCAGTAGGCACAAACAACACAAGTCTACAGATTTATATTCTCTTTCTAAGTCAACGAATCTTGAATTCCTTTACGTGAGTGTCACTGCTTCATCCAGCTGCTTAGTTTACAGCCTGCTATTAGAGCACACCCAGGGGAAGCAAAACACACAGGTTAACTGGTTTAGGCTTAGGCAAGTGCTCCAATCACAAGTCTGTTTATACAAAAATGCACAGCAGTACCATTTTTTTTGTCTTAAACATATTTAGCCTATGGCATGGTCAGCTCTGTTCTTCAAAGAACCAGAAGATTCCTAATCACAGCAGATTTTCAGAAACAAAGTCTGCAATATTGGCTCTGAAGAGCTGCTGATTCCATACATCTTTGTTCTCGCATTCTCTGCTCTGCTGGCTAACTCTTGAGATATTCCATTTAGGCATAAAAATTAAGTACTGCAGAGAAGTGATCAAATTATACCCATTCACTGCATCTAAAAATTTATGCACTCAGTGTTTCATCTCTGTTGGCCTGAATTTTAGGCAATTTAATTATTCCAGCTCTTACTAAATTTGAGAGCTTCTTATAGTCACAACGCAATCAAGCCTGATCCCAAATCAAGTAAGATTTGCACAGGACGGTCAGGCCAGAGTCTCTTCCTCCATAGTCTCGAATAACCAGAGGTATCTGCCCAATATTATTTCCCAAACCAATTCACAATTGATAGGGCAATCGTGCCCACTCCAAGGGTCGAATCAGCCCCTTTCCCATCACGCTGTAGCTGCAACAGTAGCTCCCTGACATTTTTAATATTGAATGCATTGTCATAATAAATAAGTCATCCTTAAAACATTCATGTACCATTAAGTAGTTTCAAGCAGAACAAACAAAGAGTGACAACTGAACTAAACCTTACCAAAAACTGGTTAGTTTCATGAAAGAAACAACCTCTTTAGGCAGACCTTTATCTCACCAAAAATTCTTACATACAGAAGGAGTGAGAAGGTTATTTATAAATAGAAAAAATGTTATTTAACCCAAGCATTAAGCATGGCTTCTGACCTGCATCTATTAAATAATACTAATAATTGAAATTATCAACGAAGTCCTCATCTATGAAGCTTTGAAGTCAGTGAAAGCTTTCTACAATACCAGTGCTGAGATATGCTTATGAGTATCTCCAGACCTACTTATTTGTGTCTGATAACTAGAATGATATTTTAAAATATTTTCTGTAAGAAAAAGAAGCCACCAAAACCTGACTTATTAGGGTTAGACAAAACTTTATCATTTGAGTGAACTCAGATTCACAAGTTGGTGAACAACAGTAGCTACTTTCAGTTGTTGACTGAGACCAGACCTAAAAGCCAGATGTTTCTGTGCCTTATTGTCAATGCACAAGCAACTGAGGGCAAGAATAATTAAGCTACTGTTACAAACATAAAATTAGAACATCTTATTATATATACAAAAACACTCTTACTGTAATGAGGTCATTCCTTTTAACCATTCTTCCTTGGTAAAAAATCCCATGCTTTCAGCCTCTAGTTTCCAGGCTAAAACTAACATAATAATCTAGGGTGGGGTAAAAACAAGAGAGGAAAAAGGAGTCAGTATGTAAGAAAAGGCTGATTTCTAGATGTCCCAGAATAAAACTCTAAGCATTCAAACATTCTAGCAATTCTTGTACATGTTTGCACTTTATATTTGTTGCCATTTAATAATTCAGCTATGTGCAATCTTTCCCTCGATTTCAATTTCTGAAAGTGAAGTATTACTATAATAAACCAAACAAAAAGTCCTCACACACCAGCCACACATAATTGATGTACTCAGCTGAAATATCTTAGAATAGCTCCTAAAAGTAGGAAGATAAACAGCTCTCTGCTTACTGAAATTAAGAATTTTACACAGAACTTAATCTTATCCAATACTTTCTTTTACAGTGTTATTAGTATTGTGCAAGAAACCTACATTTTCAGGCTCAACACCAATGTCTTCACAGAACTTTTCCATTCCTTCAGGCCCCACAACTTCATCGGGACCTTCAAAACCAAAAAGAAAACAGACTTAAATCTAGGTAGCATTTGCTTCTCACAAGGGTTACACACAACAATAATTAGACTCTATTGCAAACAAGCTGCCTTTAAAAAGACTGAATTACACTCTTAAGTAACTTTTATGTTAGAACCATTCTATCAGCTGCAATGTGGAAACGTGTATGACATACGAAGTAAGACTATGAACTAAAAGCAAAGCTAAAGCAGAACTTTAATGTTGTGTGCTGCCTCCTAACAACAGGAGACAAGCTATTTTAGTTTGTGCATGCGAAGTTTCAAAAGACTCTACTGAGTTTCCCGTTGCAATAGCTCAACTCCACCAACTGTGGCAGTCAATTGTTTTTAAGGCAACTTGGGGACTGCTACTCTGTGCCGAAGTTACTCTATCAATAATGCTCTTCGAAGAGTTAGTTTATCAACAATAAAAAAAAATAATTCTGTCTGAGCTACTATTACAGATATTACTCTTTCAATGGTGTTAACATTACAGGTTTGCCCTAACACAGAGGAGGATGAATCTTCCAGTAATGTCAGGCTAGTTTTATGATACTAAGTAACATGAGGAGAGTGGTAACAACAAATCGGAAAAATGCTAAGCATTTTAGCCATGTACAAAGTAGAAAAAGGCTTATGACTGCAAGGAAAATAACTTGATTATTACCACAATAGTTAATGTTATGCTGTCTCTTTTCCATTTTAAGACAAAGAAAACCTCCAAAAAGCAGAAAAATAATGTATTTAAAGAGCCCATACAGATACACTCTACAATACTTTGTTTCTCTGAACCTCTCTCTGGTTTCAGTTATTTCTGCTAAGCCTGTTCCAAAAATGGAATTTACTCCTACTGGGCAATCAAATATTACTAAAAGGCCTGTTGACATACTATTTTGATGCATCTTGGATTAATACGTTAACATTATTTTAGTGAATATGAACCCACATAAAAGGTAAAGGCTACATCTTCCAAAACAACATGCCATTTTATGACTTTTTGGCAAATTTTGCTATTTATACATAGACAGAACAGTCTTTTTTTTTTTTTTTTACCCCCTGATGACACCTGTCTCCATTTCATCTGTCTCCACTGCTGTTATTGTAAGCAGAATTCTTTTAAAGAGTTTGGATAATGTACTTTGAATAATTACTCACCATGACATAAGAACATAATCAATAAAAAATATTGAGAATAACTACTTTTACAGGCAAATAAAATGCAACTGGTATTTAAGATCACAAACTCCTACCTCTTGAAAAGTGTTGCAAAGAGAATTTTGCCTAGGTAAGTAAGGCAAAACACTGCCATCTGGTTTGAGACGGCCTTACAGAATGCGTTAGAAAAACTTCAAGTTTAAGTTATGAAGAGAAACACATACAAGGGTTCACTGTAATAAGTATAAACTTGAATCAGGTTTTGGCCCAGAAATCATTTACAATTACAATACAATTCATATATATAAATGTATGTGTGTGTTTCTGTGTGTGCATAATTTCCTCTTTTAATGAAAACATTTAATCTCCTATGGTGTACAATTTCACTGGAATTCTATTTTACGCTAGAAATGTGGCATGTTTTGATTACTGGTTAACTAACAAAGTATAACTGCCTACATTCAGTTCTTCACTCAACAAAAACAAAATTTACAGACCTTAAAAAAGTTAAAAGTATGTGCAGATACATTTATAAGAAGAAAATTAACTGAAGATTATTATTTTCCTCAGAAAAGACTCTTTACTCCAAAAGAGTATGCCTCAAACCTAAATGAGAAAGCAGATTACTAGAATCCAGAGTCGTTCACTACTGTGGAAAGACTGCAAGGAAAACATCAGTTCTCACAGTAACACTCAGACCAATTGCTGGCAGATAAATCACCAGTTTATTTCATACGGAGAACTGGACATGAACGAGTTTTATCCATCCAACTAGTTATGATGGATTTCAAGTAGTGACTAGACATGAAATCAATAACAGTTTACAGATCCTGAATTCCTAACCATATAATTGGTAGATAAATGGCAGTAGTAGTCTAAAATTCTGCAAAAGACACTGCATAATCACTGAAAGCAGCTATTACTTAGATAGCATTTCTGATTTATTTGAAAGAGGCTACTTCCAACACTCTTGAATGAAACATTTATTTTTTTAGCATATCATAAACATTAGGACAGATTCTCAGATAGGAAAAACGGTATACGCATCTATTATTTTATTTTGTAAAATAGAAATCCGAGAGACTTAAATCATGAACTATTTCCTTATCCTTCCAATTTGATTATAAACAAGATCTAGTCAGACAAATAAACTTCTATCTCTCAGTGTCCTGACTTCTACTTGTCCATTTCAAATCAAGAAGTAGAATCATTCCTTATATCCTGGTTCAACATAGTACTGTTCAACATTGGTTATTTCATTTTAAAGAACATCATGGTAAGTTACAAAACACAGACTAAAGAAAAAGTCAAAAAGAACAAATACTGAAAAGGAGATAGTAAAAGCTACTCTAATTCAAGTGCACGTTATAAGGAAGCGAATACGGACATATTTTTATGTCTACATCAGCATAAAAAAAGCAAAATGCAAGTATTTGATGTATTTGTTTTAAATAAAAGCATATAGTTTTAAATATGAATCCATTGCATATTACCTGCATATTCGTAAAACCAAGCCAGGCACTTTTTGCTTGAAAAATGTTCCTCTCCACTTATTACTTTACCAGAGGCTTGTGATCTGCAATAGCTTATAGAAACACAAGGATGATAAGTGTTATTGCAATACGAAAAAAGGGAAATAATTTAAAATTGAAATCCAAATTGGTTATTATTAGTTCAAACTATTTAAACTGTTTCGCGAAGTCAATATACATCAACGACGAAGCCAAATTTGTTAAAGGGCAACTGTCATCCTATTACTTGTCAGAACATAAAATTACCTTGAAATACAACCCTCTCATAGCCCAATTTGTTGCAACTATTACTTTTTCTGAAATGCAAAAGTACTGTTACCTTGTAGGTATTAAACCAAAAATCCCCCACGCAGATGGTCAAAATATCACTACTTAGTAATTCAAATGTCTTATTATCTGCTTATATTCATACATGCAGGCGTTCAAAGTTAGGTCTCTAACAAGCAGCATGATCTTCCAGAGCGCTGAATATGCACAGATCCCATTTAGGTCAACAGGAGCTGCAGAGTTTGACATATTTAAAAGTCAGGCTATTTATAGTTAAGCATCCAAATTTGGGAAGAAAACTCGGTCAATTTGTTTACATTAAACATGGAACTAAATCTCTGTAAATTCTATAGATGTTTGGTACCTATACTAGAATAGTAATAGGCAATCTGTGGTAAGCACTAAAACTGCTCAGCACAGACAGCTTCCCCCCTTTATTGTCTTCATTATGCCACCTACAACTCAGTCTGCCTACGAGGCAAATTTTCATAATTATCATTCTTTAGAAGAATACATAGAATAACTGATTTTTTTCCAGTAAAAACACTGACCACATGAAAGCACCTTTAGTCAGTTGGGAGTTACAGCACCTTTTCAATGCACACTCCTTTCAAATACAAGTTACAGACTTTTAGAACGAGTTAAGATTATTTCTAAGAATGAGGTGAAAGTTAATCATATAAGAGGATTTAAAGTTTTGCAGCTCCAATTGAAATTGCAATTTTAAAATGGAAACAGCAAGCAGGAAAAGAATGCTTCAGTTCTAAGAGGTGGCAAACAACTTCGCCTCCCATGTGTTGCTTTAAGCTCCAGTGGAAAAGAAAGCAATGTTCTCCAAGATACAGTCTGATGTGCTGAAAGCCAGAATTAGAGATGTACTATGTACTACAGACAGGCATCCATTAAACTGCCATTAAAAACACAAGTCACCAGAAAGAAACAGAGCCATAGGCTATGTTATTGCTTATTGGTTTTATCCAGTTTAGCGTGTATCCATTTGTAATCACTGGCTTTATTAAAGAATATTACCAACGTATTGCTATGTTAAAAACACTTGTGTATCTAACATTTTGTGATCAGCTAGTATGAACTCTCATTTACAACAAAGTTTTTGCCTAGTGACTGCTAGCTTCCTGTAGAGCCTTTTTTTTTTTCCTCCAAAGGACCTTTCAAAAGATTTTTTTTTTTTTTAAGTAAAAAAAATTAAGATCTTAAAATTTTGGTTGGCAGTGTTCAGGAAAGATGAACTGAAACTGGAACAGATGTAGAGAAGAGCTATGATAAGCAAGGAAACTGAAAATCTGTATTACAAAACAGAAGAATTTAGCTTGTGTAATTGAACAAAATAAAGTACAAGAAAAAACAAGCACTCACTCCAAATAGACTGTGAGGCAGAACCATGAGGGAGAAGTGTTATATAAAGGATAATGCAGGCACACAAACGATTATTAACTACCTATGAATAAATTTAGACTGAAACCAAAATATCATTGATGACTACAGAAAGCGAGCTCTGTAACACTCATCCAAAATGAACAGTCATAACGAAATAAAAACCTGGGCACTTCTAAGCTCAAGCTTGGTCAGCCTATGGCAAAGGCCTTATGACACAGTTTCTTGCAATAGCCATTCCCATAGTGCTGATTTCGTAAGTCCTTTGTATTCTTATGTCCCCAGGACGTTTGTCGTAACTACTGGTTTAGTGACATACCTAACAAGTTCTAATAGACGAAGGCATACAGTTACTTGAGAGAAGCCACGCTGAAAGCTCCTGCTACACCATACTAGCGGTTTATCATTCTAATGGTAATTTTTAGGTACCGCGGCATAAGGTCTCTTTTTACAGTAGTTAACAAGCAAGATGCTCCAGACTCCTTTATTTATTATAAAAACCTTTCCTGATTCTGTTTTGCAGCGTGCTGATTTCTCCTTCCATTTCACCGCAAAATAAGAGATGGTTTAACGTAGACACTCTCGAGTACTGACAGCCTCAAGAAGAGGAGAACTGCCTACCTCAGGCAAAAGGTGAGAACAAGTACGGGGACAAATGCTGGAATGAGCCTTACTCTTGGAGCGAAAGGCAGAACTAGCACGCGAGGAGAGCGTTTTCCCCCCCGAGTGCGAACAAGCCAAACGCAGGCG